GTTTTAAACACATAACACACAAAATGGAATAGATTAAGGGTGAGATCAGTGGTGGAAATGAGGGCAAAAGTGGTCTTTAAGGATGGGGCCCTTTTGACTATGGGTTCATTAGTACCATTATTTTGAATGGATCCAGTTAAGGAGTCTTTTCGGAGCGGGGGTGGGGGGGTGGGGCATAGTTGATACCCTTCCATAGGGGGGCATAGTTGATACCCTTCCATATTTATGTGAAGAGATATTGCACTCCCCTTTATGAATAGCTTGTAGTCCTTTACTTGGTATCAAAATGAAGTATAATTTATTTCCAAAATTCATTTTTTAATATACATGCAAACAACTCATTTTAGAGCTCAACATTTTATTCATTGTCTTAGTTAATTATTTTGCCTTTCATGGTTTCATCTCTTTCGGTATGAAGCAAACTTTGCATTTCCCATTATTTATGGTTTTGTTTTATCAGTCTTTATCTGTTGCATTTCTTACCCCCTTTGTCCTTTCTCAGTGATTTTGAGTTCTGTAAAATAGTTCTATTTTGTTACAAAATTGCATTTTTTTTTAAAAAGAAGTCAATGGATGTTTTATTTTTGGCAAATTTCCTATGGTGTGATTTAAATTTAACTAGTTTTTATTGCTTTAACTAGTTTTATTGTTTTAACTAGTTTTTATTGTTTATTGCACAAACTATGGCTCATGTAACTAGTCTTCAGAGTTGTATTTGAGGTGTTGGCCCCCTTTATATACTAGAGAACTCAAGTACAAAGAAAAAAAAGTCATAGGGCAGGAACGGAACAGCTATTAAATGACTAGATTGTGGAGACAATGTTTGACCCAGACTTATGTGTCCAATTCTAATTTTCTTTCCATTTATCAGGCTTTTTAGTAGAATCTCATAACAGACGGTATAGATAGAGATAGTGTTTATCACTTTGTTCTGTTTTTCCATATTTCCATTTTATTTTCTTTTTTATTTTTTTTTAAATCTTTTTTATTTTTTAAAGATTTATTTATTTATTTATTTATACAAGCACTGGGTACAGTCTGAAGCGCAGGAGAGTGAGAGAATTCACCAGAGCCAGAGCGGGATGCAGAGCAGGCAGAAGGACCAAAGTACACTGCTGAGGGGAGCAGTGGGTGGCAGGAGAAGTCTGCATGCCATGTGGGACCCTCCTCCGGTGGCCGGGGAGCAGCCTGGGATTAAACCGGCGCTGCAGAGGCTGTGGGCAGCTTCTCAACCCAGCGCTCAACCGCTGTGCCACCAGGGAGGCCCTCCATTTTATTTTTTATATAACATTACGATACATTTTTTACAACTTGCCTGCCAAGTCTGGAGATGAACTGGAAACCATCTTGATCAAAATCAAAGCACACCTGTAGGTGGCGTAAAAGAATACTTTTTCTTCAGGGTTATAATGATGATGTCCTCCAACAGATTCTGGAGCAACAGACTAAACAGAGACTTCAAACATGTGATATTTTACTTACGGAGTCATTAATTTTCTTCTTCCCCTGGGCTATTTCAAGTCTCATCATATTTATAATGGTTATTCCAGAATCACTTCTACTATGGAAAGAAAGAAAAAAAAATACACACTTTAAAAAAAAGAATTTTGGATTAAATTTCTGCATGTTTTTCCTCTTAAGCTTTATTTTTTTGAATTCCAAGTATGGGGGGTTGGCTTATCCATATTTAAATAGACCCATTGAGCTTAGAGAAGTCATAGCTTAGGGAATTCACAGAAGCATGTGCACCCTTACCCATCTTTCTAAAAGTGATGGGCTTTGCTTAGTATTTACCAAGCTTAGTTATCAATCTCTGACATATTTGATTATATTAATTTTCATTGTTTTGAAATATTTTCTGAAATGAGTTTTTCTTTCTCCTAAACCTAACTTTTTAAAAACAAAATTCTAGTGGGTCATTCATCATTTAATTTCCCATCTTTAAAAGCTACCCCTTGGCATCTCTTGTGGTATTGAAAACACTTAAATGAACTTAGAAGATCAGAAATCTCTGTGTTACAGTTTGTTCTTTGTGATCTAATCCAACGCATCCAGATGAAGTAAAAACCTTTCCTAAAAATTGAAAGACATTTACAGATCCTGTGGTGATTTTTTAATCTGGTTACTATAAAGATATTTGACTATTTCATCCCAATTTAATCATTTCATTTGAAAACTGCTTCATTGTGGGATAATTCTTCCACACTCCAAATTTTGAGTCTACAAACTTGGTTCATTTCCAAGGTTTCTATCCATGTCTCTGCCATGTCAAACCCCATGTCTAAACCTCCTTGTAGTGACTTTTAACTGAACCACAGTTTTGCAAAATTTGATGGTGATTTGAAATGTGAAATATGAAAAAAGATGATTGGAAGAAATGGTTTGAATGTTAATGTTTTTCAAAAGGCGGTTATGTAGTGGAAATTTTACCTATTCCACTGACTTTAGGTATTTACATATTTTGGCGTGTATTTAATTGTTTAACTTCTGTTGCATGCTAATTATCCACTTAGCTTCTTTTTCCCATCTTGCCCTGGAAACTATTCTTGTTTTTCACTTTGTATATAATTTTGTATAACAAAATTGCTTAATTGTACTCCCCCCTTTTTTTCCCACTTAATGATCATCTGCAAATATTTGAGGATAGTTAGAATTTCATTTCTGGCAGGCCTGACTACATGAGAAATAAATGTGCCAGTGTCAAGGAAAATAAAAACTTCACTGTTGAGAAGTGTTGAGGGGAAGGATTGTTTCCCTCTGGTCATTGAAACTGTTACATGCCATTAGACTTACTGTAAACTATCCCTTGATGAATTCTTTGCAGGACAATGAGCTTAAGAATCTGAGGTGTCTTCTTGCTTTTACAGAGCAAAATAGGACTCTGATGCTTAAATGGAATTGCAGGGCACATAATAGGATGTAGGTAAAGTTACTGAACTACCACATCTCATTTTCAGGAAGATTGTGGGAGAGATTGTGTCTTGAGAAGAAAGGCACTTTAGAGGTAACCCTTTTAAGATTTCAACTAGTTATTTAAATGTATGAATCATGTGCTTAAATGTATGATTACGTAAATGTTCCCAAGGCTAACTAGCCTTTAGGAAGCCTCGCTAGCTACAGGTTAAAATTTTGTTTTCCTGGAATGGTACCTATTTTGAAAAGAACTGGGAGAGAGTAGTTTAGGGTTCTGGAATTTAATCACAAGGTTTAGAGAAATCTTTAGAACTTTATGTAAATTATTTGATCATTGGCTATAAAAGAATAGATAAACTGATGTCTGGTTCTTATTAAGACAATTTAGTAACAAATGACAAGGTTTGTTAAAATATTTTATATTTGCTTTGGTTTACCTTAAATAACTATAGACACATTTATAGAAATTTTTTTTAAAAAAATTGTAATTTTTTTTGCAAAAAATACCACAGAAAATAATTGCTTTGGAAGTAAAATTTTTCTTTTAAAATTATATATTCATGAAACTTTTTAGGTGTTTGCTTATCCTCTCAGCAGTCTTTCTAATAGTATAGCAAGATAGCTGAGTTTTGGTCACATTTTTCATTTGTCTGAACACCAATATCTTATTTTTGTAAAGAGTAGTTTTTTAAAAGACAGAATACATCTTAAGCTAAGAGAATTAGAGTTTGAGAATAACTGGAAACTAGCACTATGTAAAGTTTCAAAGAATAAAACCAACAAGAACATATATATATATATATATATATATATATACACAAAACTTAGAAATACTCTGAAATACAAATTTTTTTCAACATCAAATTAAAATTATAAATATTGAAATACAGTTGAAATCCTCATTCTAACATATAAACCTCTTGCCATTTGCAAATCTTCTCATTCATTCAGTTATAATGCATTTGGTTATTCTGTATGTACTATTTGTATACAGAATGGAATCCTACACACTCTTAAACTTATGAATTTGTTTGCTTAGCTGCTTCCGTATTAACTTCTGTGGTCTTAGGTTCTATAAATAACACATATAAAAGTGCACATTCAATGTTCAAGTATCCTTTCTATAGCCCACGTGCAGGACTCTGCTACTTACAGGGTAATCAGGTTAATGAAATAATTTCTTATTTTGTAATTATAAGGTATTTAATTACTTGTACTCTAATGATGACCGAAAATAAAATCTAGTGTGCAAGACATATAAAGTGGACAGATACAAAGTAAGACCAAGAAAACGGTGGCAGTATTTACTAGAACTATGGTGTAGTTCTTGGGTCATACTCTGGGTTCGTGATGAATCTTTTCATAAAATGTGTCATTCTGGAGATAGTACCGGTCTTAGAGTACAAAGACCAAGGATCAAGCCTAAATCTCCCTGATCTAGTTCTATGGTCTTGTTCAAGTCACTTACTTTCCTTGTTTTTATTTTCATTAACTATAAAATGAGAGAAATTTAGTAGGGATCCTTTTTCCTGTTTCCCACACAGTTCTCTAAGTTAAGTCAGTCTTGCTTAACCATCTGCCAAAAATCAAGTGCTGTGCTTAATCTTACAGGTAATAGGTTTAAGAATAGTGACCATATGTTTACAATAAATTGTGCAAAAAACTGCCATTGCTAGCACTCAGTCTGAAATTTCTGTGGGAATCAAAACTAACCCAAACAATGGAAGTTTACATTTTGGACACTAACATTTAAACAACCAGTTTTTCTTGTTTTTGAAGAAGTGGATTTTTTTGCTTTCGAAGCCAAGTTTTTCCAGATCTGATGTTTTGCACAAGCTTAATGTTTACTATTTGATTTTTTTTCTACTTGACCTTTGATTGTTCCTGTTCCCTACCTAGTGGTTGGTCAAAAGTGATAGGGCCAATACAGATAAAGCAAATAGTGTTTCATAGAGTTTAATAATTAATAACCTAACCTGTCATCAAAGCATCCATGGATCCAGTTCTTTGTTATGGCATTGGCAGCAAGTCTTTAACAAGAGATGTCTGTATAAAAAGAAACAATTGCTTTTTTGTTTCCAAAACAGGTATTGCAAGAGGATAAATAATGTGCACTGCTCTGAGCCCCAAGGTGCGCAGTGGACCTGGCCTCTCCGATATGCATCAGTATAGCCAATGGCTGGCCAGCAGACATGAAGCTAATTTGCTACCGATGAAAGAAGATCTGGCCTTGTGGTTAACCAATCTATTAGGTAAGGTTGTAAGATCTCATTTTGTGAACAAAGATAACAAGTTGCTTTTCCACCTCATGTAGTGTTCTTCACCTGAGCATGTGACAGCACCTTAGAAAGAAAGACCTTCATTTATTGGATTTTGCTTCTGGCCAACCTGAAACATGTGAAAAGTTAAAAGAATTTTGCAATGTCTCTCACACTGTGTCCTTAGTCATTATGATACTGTTTTTATTTTCATTAACTATATTACTTGTTTCATCGATATGCTGATCTGATCTTTTTCTTACTTTTATGTAGCTGACCAATTGGCCTATCTTTTTTTTAAGATTTATTTATTTATGCATATAAGAACTGGGGTACAGGTCAGAGGTATGGGGTGGGGGGAGGTGAAAGCAGATTCACCAGAGACAGATTGGGGAGCAGAACAGGCATATCTAGTGAAATACACTGCTGAGGGGAGCAGCAGGTGAGACAGCAGAGGTCTGCTGTGCCATGTGGGTCACCCCCCTGGCTGGGAATCGAATTCATGCTGTAGTAGCTATGGATTGCTTCATAGTGCTGACATTTAGCCCTTTGAGCCACCAGGGAGGTCCCTGGCTTATCTTTTTGTGCACAGGCCACAGTCTGTGAAATCTGATTTCTAAAACTAGATTTCTTTGTTCTACTTTTATAAAGCACCTTCTAAAATGCTGAATCCCTCAAACTCCAGAACAAAAACATGTATCCTTGTCCTAATGAGCTGACTAGAGTCACGCAACCTTGAACTAGAAATTTTCTTTTCATTTCATTTTCGTTTTTAAGTACTCTTCCAAAAAGCATTGTCATTGAGAAAAGCATTACCTCATGTTAGGTTGCATCTCTTTTTGTTTCTTTTGTGTCACCATATTTATAGGATAAAATTTCAACCATGTACAGAATGGAATCATAGGTTTAAAGGATCACCATATATAGCAACATTATTTCTATTAATAGTTCTTCAGCATGAATAGAATAAAATCTATTTAAGACCTGAGGAATGAACCTTTTAGAGTTTATATACAAGATATCTTGAGTATAAAAGATATATTGAGTAAACATAGAATTTGCATGGTGCTTTATAATGTAAAGAAGGAATTTCACTAACATTATTTTGTTATTTAAAGTATTGCTATCCTCATTTTCTAGCTGATGAAACTGTAGAGCTTAGTGAGATACACCCTGTCCTGAAATTTTAGCAAGGTTTTAGCAAGATTTTCTTTTTGCTCTAGGTTTTTGCATTGCTTTTGTATTTTTTTTAACCTTCATTAGCCCTTTTTCTCATTGTGTATATACTATTTTAACCCTGCAGTGTAACCAGGGTTACTACATATGACCATGCAGGTTACACCCTTCAGAAAGACTCCCTGCTGAAGGGTAAGGACAGATACAACCAAGGTACTTCCCAGGAAGAACCTTCACCCTGCATGGAGCTGTATCCACTGGAAGGAAGATGCTGTCCCCTTTTAGCAATTCATCCCTGCAAAGGAGGAGCATTTATCTCCATCACCTAGAAAAAACCAATTTAGCTTAAACAGGATTTAGCTTTTTGTCCTTCCGGGTTAACTAATGATTGTTACACTGGTAATTTATTATTAATTTTGTTTGATCATCAGGCATGCACTATCACAAGTATGTCAGCACAGAACGGAAGTTATGAGCAAAGACAGACACAAAATATTTGGAGTTTTCCCCCTGCTAGCAGTGTGACCTCGGGCAAGTTTGACCTCTCTGTGCCTCAGTTTCCTTATCTCCAAAGTGGTAATAATAGTAGTATCTACTTTGTAGGGTTGCTATGGGATCAAACGACTAACATATGTATATGTGCTACTTAGAACAGTGCTTGGCATATTGTCATTGTGTTGTTGTTTTTCATTTATGTAGTTTTGTGATATTGTTTGATTTATTTGTTCAACACATATTTGAATGTACAACGTAACATATTGACTCTGAGGTCAATTCTACCACTTCTTGCTCTGTGATACAGGGCCATGTCTATGTGCTGTGCCTCATTTTTGTAATCTGGAATTAACCTCATAGGATTGTTGTAGATTTGAATGAGATCATCACTTTTAGAACAAGGGTCTGACACAGGTCTGGTGGATGGTAGAGTAGTGATTGAGATTAGTCAGAATGCCTGTTTGTCCACAGTTTGGAGTAGATTTAGTAAGAAATATATTACATAAGTAACTGAATAAGTAACTCATGTTTGGACTTACTGATATTAAAAGATATAAAATACAACAAGAATATTAAAATGAAATACTACTTAAGGGGTTTTATATTTAAACTCAAAAGTGGAAAATAATTATTACTAGTCAGACAGAGCCTGGGAAAAGAGCCTGGGAGGGGTGGGTGGCATGTGCTGAGACAGGGTGGAGTGTGGTTCATTGGGGCAACAGAATGAAAGCTAGTGTCAACAGCACACATCAAGAAGGGGAGCGTTTCATCAGATGTGTTGGGATTAGATGGAACACTGCTTTAAAGGCCAGTTTAAGGGACTTGTAATTTATTATATGATCACTGAGGTTCCATGGAGTTATTCTAGGCAGGACAAGATCAGGATTAATTATAGTCTGGTTCTACGGGCAAGTTCCAAGGCCCTATGACTTGTCATCAAATGCATTTTGTTTGGTGAACGTGATCATTTACAAAGCAGCATGATCAATGTATGTAGCCCAAGGCAACCTCAAAAAACAGTCAGTGTGGGTGTAATGGAAAGATCCTTGGACGAAAAGTGAGGAGACCTGGCTCCTAACTGGGAGTCAGGAGACCTGGCACCTGGTTCTGGCTCTGCCACTCTGTAGGAAACTTGCCCAAAGTCAGCTATCTTTTCTCGGCTCCGTGTCCTCAACCATAAAATGAAGAGGTTGGAGTGGATGATCTTTAATGTCCTTTCCAGTTCCAAAAGCCTAAGTTTCCAAGAAATCCATCTCTAAAGTCCCATTCTGGGACCACCTGTATGCATAGAGAGGAAGAAAACAATTTTCATAAATGAACAACCTTTCTTTTAAAGAATAAGATATTTTTTTAACTCTAGTAGTTCGTAATGCAAATGCAACTGAGTATTTGAGAAATTTTCTCAGAAAGGGAATCTTAAAAGAATCTCAATATATAATGAAGTGCCATCTTGCACTCATTTGAATTCATAAAAAGCAGATAGATAATAGACTTCAAGTAACTCTCCTCCTAGTAACTTGGAAAACAGAGCAAAAGTTTAACACTATTTAAAGTAGCAGAACATTAGGAGGTAAGAAAATACTTATGTACTAGAATGGTAATAATAAAGAGAGGAGAATAAAATATATGGCTATATTAGAAGATATCTTTATTTTATATAATAGATATATTTAATATTGTCATATTTTGGAAATAGAGGTATTGAAGTAAAATTTTAAATCATTATTAGCCATTTTGTCACCTCAGAAATATTTGCAAATTCATGTTATGCATTTCTCTTTCAATTCCTTTTTTTTTAAACTTGAAAGCTAGTTTCAAAGTTAACCCTGTCTCCAAATAAAGTGGCTGAATTTTTTGGTGAGATAGAAATTTATTTACTAAATTAAAATTTTTAATTTAGATATTGTCATTGTGATGTGGACCTTACTAGTAAGGACTTTCCTCCTTTCTGATAATACTTGACTAAAATGTAACCTTTTTCCTTTTATTAAAGGAAAGTATTAATAATTTTCTAAATTCATATATTTCTGGTTCTACATCTAATTTAAATTGGAATAGAATTAAATGTAATTTGAATTGAAATTAAAGAGCATTTGATTCATTTTCAGATTTTTTTTGGTGGATGAAAAATTGCTTGATAGAGAAGAAAATTATTTCATTGGTTCATTGGTTCCTAGCCCTGTAGTCACTTTCTTGCTACATATATGTATATGTGGTATAGTAGTTTAATTTTCAGCTACAGTATATGATCTTAATCATCAACAATAATAAATACTGTGTTAGATTCCTAGGTGAAGAATTAAACACAAAGATAGTAAATATTGGGCTAACTAAAATTTGTATATTACAATATAAAATGCCAGTTCTCCTGTCATAAGATAAGATGAATAGTTGCATTAGTTGGGATTTGTCTATTGGGTACCATACCAGTCTGAGTCATGTAAAGATAATCTCAAGATATTTACTGACTACTCATATATCTTTGGAAATATTTACTGATCTTATTGAAAACAGTCCTTTTAGTCCAAATGTGTTTTCTAATAGCTGGAAGCATGCAGCCGTTTTATGGCAGACATTCACAAATGTCGTAAATGAGTTCTAAAGACTCTTCAGCCTTCCCTAGAACATGTTGGTTTGGCCCTTGTCCCCTGCTATGCTTTAAATATACATAATTCATTTTAATTTTAGATCCTCTGTTTTGTTACTATTGTTCATGAGTTAGTCATTGCCAGTTTGTGATTTCTGTCCTTAGGACATATTTTAGCATAAAATGATTATACAAATAAATTTTGGAGAAAAACTTAACTGTCACTTTGAATAAATAACATGCTAGCGAATTAACAGTCCCAGATCACAGCAGTCACCCATCATTTAAATAGATAAGACATATTCTAAAAATGTGTTGATTGTGATGAATTGTTGAAGATTGCTCTTGGGTTAACTTTGAAATAAATATACTAATAAATCATCTCAAATTTTTTATTCCATTTATTTTTTTAATCATTTGAAAATTATGGCCTACTTCTGTCTTCAGCTAGTTAAGTAGCATATTTGTATCACATAGGAGTATATTTTTTAGAAAAGATTATAGTTCTTAAGCTTCAAAAGAATTAACATTGTTCTTAAAGATTGTAGATCATTATTTAGGATGTAGACATATGTGTTTAGATATATAAAGGGACTGAGTAAATCTTAAGATATATTTATAAATTTAGTTATGCTGACTTTTTGCTTATTTTTAAAAAATACATTATGAAAATTGATGTTATGATGATTTTTCCATTTCTCTGATTTTCCTACATGCACAGAAAAGAAAATTCCAT